CACTTGCGGTATAAATCACGTTATAAAAAACGCATGACGAAAACCTACAAATCCTACCCATTTATCAGCCAAAGTAAAATTTTAGCAACAAAAAACGAAAAACAAACAGAGGCAATAATTCATATAATTTATATTGGCTTTGACATTTAAAATTCAAAGGTGTCAATAAGACCTAACCCAAGTGACAAAATTAAGGCCATGGAACAACAAGGTTCAAGTCCTAGAGTCCTCGACTTCAAAGAATGTGAAAGGTCGAAAGAGGTTGAGGGAATCTGGCAATCTGCCATATACAAACTTGAACGCGCAAATGGAAATAATTTATGAATTCACGATAAAACTTGCTTAAGATTGACAAAATTTTGAAACAAGATCATAACTCGGGAATCTAATTTATTGTATCAGTGTACCTCAGTAGTTCTCCAACCGCCAGTAGAGAACCATGTATGCTATGAACATGGGCATTTTTGCCCAATCCATCTTGTGTTGCCTCAAACATGCGATAATACCTGAAAACAGCATGATTAAGCAAACAGTAGCTCAAGATAAGAAGTACCTGCTAACAATTCATGCATGCAAAAAAGAAGCGAATAACAATTTTGATCAAAGCATAGATCAATATTTTCCATTATTTAAAAATCCTAGAGCAAATATAGCCAACCAAGCTTCCGTACTGAACATCAACAGATACAGCATCAAAAGCATTAACACACACGTGCGCGCGAAATAATAGGAATCTAACATGTTACATCTAATCACAATTAAACTATTGATTTTACATTTTAATAAAAATATCTTACCAAAATGCTTTCTTTTTACAATCTCAAGTCTGTAAACACTTCCTTGCTCCAAATTTTGAGCCCTTTTCTTGACAGTTTCATTTTGTACATGAAATTATAACCCTCCCATCCCAGAACCTTGCTTTCTTCCACCAATGCATACACTTAAATGTTTTAAAAGCTCATCAAACATACGTTTTATCTACACATTTCGAAAGACCCATTACTTACTACCCACTTATTATTCACACATTCTTCAGGACCCCACGGCTATAAGCACTTAAAAGCATGACCCAGCAAAAACTAAGAAAATGTTTGAGCCCCATTTTTGGGAAAATAGGTTTTTTAATAGTGAAATTTTTTTATTTTTTTAAATGTGTGATTAAAAAGTATGAAAAAATTTGGGTTTATATGTATCCCATCTTGAAGATGCCATAAATCTATCCAGTTTGTTACTCACAACAGTTCCCTAAAATCGGACCAGATAAACTTGCATTATGCGACAAACGTTCTTAATCTACATTCTTTGATTGACCATCAAAAAATTTCAAGCTTTTGGGTAATCTATAAATTCGCAATTTTACATGCTAAAATCTGATCACACTGCAATCACCTCCTACACACCAACAGAGGGACAAATGACACTTAGCTCTATTATCTCCTCCAAAATAACATTTCTCCTTGATCGTAATTAGGCCATACAAAGACTACCACCATAAACCAAATGAAGATTCCAGCTTCATAGACAACAATAATTTACCAACTAGTTCTTCTGTTACCTTAACTGACCTCCCATCCCATAGTTCTAGCCATAGTTGTGAGACCGACCCAAACACTGACCTAGAGGGGTCAGCAGGTCACTGAACCGGTGACCCCGGTGGTTCGACCGTTGGGTCAATTCTTTTCAAATATATTTATTAACCAATTTCATTTTATAATAAATTTTGACATTTTCTACCACCAACCAAATTAACTTATGTTATTTTGGCGACTAAAGAACAACCCATATGAAAAATTTCAACGAATACTAGATCATATATTATGAAACCATTTGCAACATTAAAATCAACAACTAGTAACCAAAAACAACTTTACATGTCAAAGTTTAACAAGACTCTAGTAAGTTTGAACTATGAAGATAAGCAACTGTAATCCCATCATTAGCCAAAGCAAAAAATCTCATCAAGAAAGAAAATCAAATAACCATTGCAAACTTATACATCCCAAGTTAAAGCATTCGCCTATAAAAATGAAGTCATCAGCAACATTATTTATCTCATTCTATACATTACCCACCATGACACAACAGAGTACCCATTATTAGCCTAAAGAAACAAAAATTCATCAAGAAAGAAAGCCAATGGACCATTGAAATTTTATACATCCAATGTTACTGCAATCACCTAAAAAATGCAGGAGTCAAGCAACGGCGATTTTTTTAATTTATGCATTACCCTTAACAAGGCAGATTATTATTTACAATGCGGAGAACTCTTATTTTCCTTGGGAAGCTAACAAGTGATTATTTATACTAAAATCACTCTCCCAAAAGCAGCTCCAGATTTTAGTCAAACTGAATGACTAGGTGCAGATAATTCTGTCAAAGATTAATTTACAAAAGAGAATTGTGGTGAAATTTGAAATTAAAGTTGCACAAAAAATCTTATTTTCACATATTTCAATGGAGCAAATTTGGAATCCATCAACAAAAAACTTAAATTCCAGACTTGCATGTTCACCTTCCAACTAATCCAACTTGAAATTCAAGATTTGGAATCTTGGGAGAGGATCTATAGAGAGACGGCTACATTGAAGGGTTTTCAATTTAGCAGAAGATGGAAATTTTTTGGGTTTTCTAGATTTATATTCAATCAGTGGACAGTTCAGTTCACTTAAAATTGGTCTGGCATGTTCTTAAGAACTAGGTGGTTCGGGCAGGTTAATAATAGGTTAATTGCACACTGAAACAATTGAGTCACCCGGACCAGGGAGCGATTCGTCAGTATCCGGACCGAACCAGCCAGTCCGGTCTAGGTTTAATAACATTGGTCCTGGCACTGGTCCAGACATTCATATCCAAGGTAAAGCAACTCACTACTAAATTTGTTCTCCATAGTCCTGACAAACACTTTTTTCTAACTTTTCTTTGTTTCAGGCTTTCAGCCCTCTTACATTCCAATTCCATGTGTCATTTTCCTCACCCAAGCTCTACCACACTCGCGAGCTAATTCCTCCATCATAACCAACCCTAATGAAAATTTTCTTGCTCTTAGAAGAAAACTAGAGAAGAATAAGTTTTCATCGGAACGAGATAAGAAAAGCATGAGAACGGGAAGATTGGTGAAAGTGGCAAACTCAGATATCTTTGAGAGGCAGATACCACACGACATTAAAGTAATCACGTGTTAATGTAAATTATTTCTCTGTGTAAAATGGAACTAACATCATATTATTAAAGCTGAACTTACCACTGGACACGCCAACGAGTCTCACGCTTCTCAATAACCCGCAGGCAAGCTCGCAAAGCCTCCACAGCTCGCTCCCGAACATCCAGCTTTGGATCCCTCAATGCAACCCAGATAGCATCTACAAACTCAGGTACGTGGACATTGAAAACTGTTGAAGCATTCTCAGCCATTTCCTACAACCATCATTAAGGATAGTCAAAGATCACCCAACGCAAGAAAATTCTCCATCAGACAATAATCCTTGTTCTAAAGACTGGAAACCATAATTTCCCCAATTCTACCATAATCAATGCTTCCATGGAATGAGTTTTCCCCTTGAGTCATGAATATATGAATCATGAGGGAAGAGATAACTGAGTAAAGACCTTAATGTTAGTGTGAGCTAATGCATCCCCAAAGCATAAAAGAAGCTGAGGTGGGACTTTAGAATTGTGTAAAAATGAGCATAAACAACACACGCCCATAGAAATAGGACATACTCCCCACCCCACCCCACCCCAAAAAATAAAAATTGTAACATTGTCTAACTAGGCAGATTTCCATGCAGCTTCAGGCCTCCAAAGCTTTTCTAACTTTTTTGATTAGTGACAGTCGTGGGAGGAGAACTTGTGAACTTACTTTTAATATCAAAACAGCAGCAAAACGACGATATTCAATTCTATCACCCTGAAGCCATTCCAGTGCAAGTTTCACCTGCAGAGACGAGAACAGAGATGTCCTTGTGAAATCCAAGACCGTCATGCTTAAAAACAGAAAATTTCAACATACCAGGCATTCCACTTCATCGGCAGTCATTGCCCCACCAGCTCTAGCCAAGTGACCCAACACTTTACTTGCAAGAACCAAAATTTCAGGTTCACGCTTTGCCTCAAAAGAAGTTCGCATGTAATTTGCAATTTTAGCAACCTTTACAGCATTTTCTCCGGCTGTAACATCTATTAGCTCATCAATGGCCCTCAGAGCACCCATATTTTCAGTGACTTCATTGCTTTCTAAAAGAGTAGTAATGAGATCGTACAGCTGATCCATAAAATGGGAAAATGCTTCACCACTTAGATCGCGAGCATGTTCCTCTACATGTCTCCTCAATGCTAATGCAGCCCCATCCTACACATAAGATAAGCCCGAACAACACTAGTGAATTACTGGTTAA